TCTACGGAGCTTCATCCGACTGAGAAAATAATTTGCCGCGAGTGGCTGCACTCTTAGACAAGAGCTGTTTGACTATGTTGTCGATAGCCGGAGACCCACAGACAACCATGTTGGCCTGTGCCGCAATCCGGCGCATCAACATCTACAAATCCAGAAAAGCATCACCGACTCTGAGAAAATGAGAAGACAGGAGATCGGACGTGGTTACGGAGATGAAACAACATGGTTTGCCATATTGTCAATCTAGCACTAACGACCAAGCCAAGAGTAGATCTTTTGGATTGTGAAAGATGAAGCACAAAACATTGCATGAGGGTGGTTCGCCTTTGCACTGCACTGGTCCGTGAACAGCGAAAACTACTGCAAAAGTTTGTTTTACGTTTCCTTCGACTTTCCCTTTCAAAACGGCGATTGTTCGCTTTTAGTGACGTCAAACAAAAATAGGCGCAAACGGTTATGCAAAACGTCTCTAGTATCTGAAGTACTTCTTATCCAAAGTTGACTCTTCCTAGACCCTGCAAAATGTACGTGGTTAGTGACACCAAACCAGGCTTCCTTCACTGCAAACAGCCTTCTCAGCACTGTCAACATGCTAGAATACCTGTCGTACAAACCTGTCAAGTGGAATGGTGTTTGAAAAACACCAAAAAAGTACTTAGTACACTCTGTCTGCACCTGCTGAAAAGTCCTTCATAATACTAGTTGTAAATCCTATCATGGTACGTCGTTTCCCAAACACATTTGTATATGCGCTTGCACGTCTTACCCGGGTATGGTCTGAGTGAGTTCCACTGTAATTCTAGAAATGTAATGCAAAAGCCATGAGGCCACAACGTTTGTATGCAACTTTGGCAAGCCATGCATGCAACGTTATACAGCGCGTTGGCAAACGTGGCTTTCTCCGACCTCGTGACTGACGTGAAAACACAGCAAATGCATCCGCAGTATGTAGGAGTGTAGCATTGCAGGAGAGTGAGGGAGAAACCCTGGACATGATAACTTGTATTTCTACCATAGTTGACTGACAGAGAGTCTAATACCGTATTTTCCCGTAGGTTTGTACGTACTAACTTTCGAACTTAGCAACCACATGAGTACTAACTTTCGGGGGTGGTACTATCTTTCGGGGAGTACTTTTTTATCCGGGGTAAATGACACGCAGTGGGAAGCCTGCGCAACTCTAGTGTCCGTGCATATGATCAAGAGTACACATGTACGCTTGATATGATGTATGTACTGTACGGTGTCTGTACATGTAGGACGGGTACGAACTTACTATCTTTCGGGGGGAACTGTCTTTCGGGGTGATAACCTCGGCAGTGGAAAGTGTATTTTTTATAGGGGGTACTAAGTCATTGGGGAAAACTTACTTACGGGGAAATGCGGTAGTCCAGTATCCAGGCCCCATAAATATTCACGCCCGTTCCCACTTCGAGCACACAACACATGGACACCTAAAACCTGACCATGACACCTAGTGCTCCCAATAAATCACATTATTTCCTTTAGATTCAGGATGCAAGGGCATAAAATACGGAAGAAATTGTTTCACATCTGAAACCATAGCAACGGCATAGTCACAGCATAGTAGCTGTTACATTGGAGACAGTTTAGAATGTTTTTTAAAAATTATCTATACCACCGGGTTCGGACAAAATGCCTTTCAAACATACAGAAAGGTGCAGTGCAAATAGGAAAGAGGGAAGAAACCATTCTTCTGTATACATGTACATGTACGTGTACTATGCTACCTAATCATTGATTTGTATTACACAAAATGCATTGCATGCCGCCTAGGTTGATAATTAGGACAACAACAAAGGATTGGAGTCAAATCCTACATAATGAACATGACTGATATGATGTACAATGTCCGTCAAGATATCCAAAACCAAAGAGTAAGCATATGAAGCACACATGAACAGAGACTGAAAGAGCTGAAGAAAGACATGAGGTCTAGACAAGGGCTCCACTGCATTGCAGTGGCGTCTTGGCCTTACGCGGTCTTGATGCAAGACGTGCCGACGGTCACAAAGAGACTCTTTCCAGGCGTCAAGCGACTTGCAAACTTATCGCTTGCTCATTCAGCAGCGAGGAAGGCAACCAACCACACCTTGTTCTTGCCCTAAGACAGATTTTTTGCACCATATGCCATTGTGGCGCACCGTGATACCAATCCTGAATGGCAGCAAATTTATCATTAATCAGTTGCCTAATGGGTCGGTCCGTTGCCGAGAACGTCACCTTTGGGGACTGTGGAATGACCCGCGACACCGGCAACGTTAACATGATAATGCTCATCTTCCACAAAAACAAAACAAAAAACAGTGCTATGATAAACTACCTCCAGTCACCAGAAACAAATACAGTGCATTCCGCATATGGACAGAGATTACACTAGTACATGACTGTATACCAATCGTAGAGTAACAAAACAAGAAAGAGGGAAGTTATCGGGTCTATACCATCAGAGTTGGCAGCTATATGTACAGTCAACTTCGCTTATAACGACACTCGCCAGGGCATCAAAAAAGTGTCCTTATTCGCGAAGTGTTGTTATGCCCGAAGTCTCATTATATGTATTACAGTGGGAGGGGACTTTGCTCTGGGCATGGAAAAATTGTCGTTATGTCCGCAGTCGTTATTAGCCAAGTTGACTGTATTGGATTCTCCTGGTGTGCAGAATGACACTGGGGGTGTGGTTGATATCCACTGTTGGTTTGCTGTCGTCAGTGTCAATCGCAGTACCTTCACTATTTCATGTCTAATACCTTTTATGGTCCGCACGACTTGGACCACAACACCATAGATATCCACACGAAATGGTAATAAATCAAAGAGGCCTTCTTCATTGCAGTTGGCGCAATATATTAACGGGATCGCGTCTTCAGCGTCTCCGACCTCCAAACTGTAATTAAAGCTGGCCAGCCTGCTGTTTATTGGCAGACAAGAATTGTGCTGCTTCTTCAAATAGGCAGTTTATTGAGGTCTGTCCATGACATATTCAGCATTGCTGTGCGTGGAAGGAAAGGTGGAACTTTAGACTGCTGCTGGTCATAGGCAGCAAACTGCAACCGTAGTCTGGGCTTCAGCTGTCACAGGTACATTGACAGAGAGATAGCCGCATACTGCACATACTGCAAACTACTGACTTCATGCCATTGCCTCATGGATCAGAAGTCACCACACTGAAAGAGAAACAGCAGAGGAAAACAGAACTGGTGCAGTCAGCAATAAATTTGCTCCTTCATTTTATTCGACCAATTTGATAGTCGTGCAATGCAAGAAAGTCAGAGAGCAGGAGATCTATTTATATAATGGGAAAGCACCAGTGCTTTGATGCCCATAATAATTTGATGCTCAGCATTTTACCACAATCATACAGGTATACTGACATATCTACACGATGCGACCTAGTACTCCACAAATTCAGAAAAAAAACTAGTACTTCAGTTGGTGAAATATTCCACCTCTGTCCCCTAAACTCAAATGCCCCTGTAACACTGATAAAGGATTGGTAGATGCCCACTCAGAGTGGTGTTTGAAAAGTACCGAAACCAGTCGTGACGAATTAGAGCATGCACAATTGTCTCTTCTCATAAAATGACAATACTGCCTGTACGTGGTTTTTTCGGGTGTATTTGTGGGGCACATAGGTATCACTCTAATTCCTCATGCATCCGAAAGATAAGGCTTTGGTCCATCACCCCACAAAGCGGTTTTAGTGTCCGCGTTGAGTAAGCGCCTTACCTGGTGTGAAATTGGTGACCATAATCCTCGCTTCGGCAATTACAAAATGAAACATTCATCCCAGATGGCTGCTCACGAACTGCAAGCTCCAAAATAATTTTCCAGGTTACGGGCATAGGTGTCAACATTACTCCGAACCATCTCTTCAGTGGAGGAAAGGTATCCTGACGGCACTAGAAGGGCTATAAGCAGCAAATTGCTTTGAAGTGTTTGCCATTTGGAGATAGAGAAAATCAACAGAAAACAAGCCCATACGGCGCCTTGGAGGCTACGATTCCCACGAGAAAATGAAAAACGGTCTCTGAACTGAAGCCGTGAAGGGCCTTGGCGCACGGACTGCCTGCGGATGTTGCGAACTATGGACGCGTCTGCTCTGCATAGTAGCAAGAGTATATAACCCCCAGGTTAACTAGTTATACACTCTTGATGCGTAATAGTGCATGGCCTAGGCCACCTACTAGCAAGAGTACATAACCCTCTTGGGGTTATGTACTCTTGCTAGTACTGCTACTAGTAGTTGTACCTGGCTGGCTAGGGCTAGGCCCTTTGACACCGATATCTCATCATGGGGAAATCCCACCATACGGTGCCGCCGAGAGTCGTAAAACTACTACCCCCCCCCCCCCCACAATGCGCTTGAGGTGAAAGAAGCAATGGCCGAGTTTGACGAAAAAGTCTGTTTTACTAGTCGATGCAAACATTTGTGAAGGCAACGAACAGTGCAGTCGATGCCCGGGAAGCCTTCTCTTCAACTTGGCATCGTCAAAAAGATGCGCGGAAGAAGTCGGAACGAAAGTCAATTTCTAGAGGTATTTTCAGGGCCTGACTGCTGGACTATAAATGGCTCGACACTCTTAAAACTGTGCTTTGCGGTGTTGCAATAAATAGACTGTTCACTCATGTGCACGTCTACTGGTTTCCTGTGTTCATATCTGGAGTAGTCTGGCTGTCATGTCCATTGGCGGGCTGTGTGGTCACATGCTTCGCCATCTTAGTGCAAGACAGAGCTGTCTGAACTATCTACGTGGAAATAAAAGTTTAATTAAAATTATGTACATGATTGTATGAAAAGTATGAATGCCGCAGACATCACCACGCAACATGAAAATTTGCTTACACAGATCAGGCTTGTGCATACGAATACAAACAGCTTCAAGGACCTTCAACTACTGGAGATAACGGGCATCACACAGTACAGAGAAATGGGAATCGCCACACACACTCAAATAATCGGGACGAGATAACAAATGTTAGTACACAGCTGACTTCTTACGAACTTCACCCTCATCAGCTCCATCACCATCTCTGCCACCTGTCTCCTCATCGTCCGTTTTATCGTCATCACCACCAGCCGTCTCATTGCCATCCGCCTCTTCGTTATTGTCCTCATCATCATCCGTCTCCTCATCATCCGCTTCGTCGACATCCGCCTCGTCATTATCCGCCTCGTCATCATCCGCCGCATCATCAACCAACTCATCTTCACCGCCAGTCAGTCTTATACCATCCTTGCTCTCCTTGCTACGCCTTCCCGGTGCTTCTAGCTCATCAGCGTTTCCCATTTGTGTTTCGTTTTGCTTTTGGCTTCTGTTTTCCTTCACTGCTTTGCGTGGGCCTTGGCCATTCCTGAAATATATCTCCGTTTAGTAATTCGCAGTCGACCTCTGCTTTCTACTACAGCGTGCTGTGGTGCCCGCACAACGGGACACTGTGTCAAAGAAGTGGGTCCAATTTCTGTGATTGACAGCACTGTAGTTGTTGCCGACTATGTGCTTGTATTTATTTATGTATTTATATCATTATCTCATGGCACATCATGATGACAGCCAGTAAAACTGAGACAAGGGTGAAAGCCAACCACACCAGTAAAACAGATAAAAGAATACAAATACAAGGCAAAGAAGGCAAAGGAGGAGACAAACCAGCAGGATGTCATGCAAATACATGAAACCTATAATTAAGCAGAGATTTTAGCAACAAAATTATCCATCGACGTGCTGGTCTTGGTCTGCGTTGGTAATGTTGCCCAAAACACATAGCCAGCAAAGATCGGGGATCTAGTGAATAGGGACTAGACCCTAGGGGTTGCTTGGCAGATGGGACAAAGATATACGGTGGAGTCGGCGAGACGGTATTCAGCAGAGAGGGTGTTCCAGTGTGCAACTGCGCTGTATGTGAGCGAGTGAAAGCCAGAGTGTCTATGGGCTGTTATGTTCTCATGCACACCACTACTACTAGACAACAGGAACTAGTTTGGTGACAAGATAATAGAAGCTAATTATTTACATTCTCAAGTGAGAAAGAAGAGCAAGGAGAAGAACACATGAATCTAGAATATGGATGCGTGCATGCGTCCAATAGAGACATGACGTAATCACGTGAAGCAAGGCGTATAACGTAACAATACGCGTTATACGGGTGATAACAACTTGAAGTACATGCGCAATACATGAGTAGCTAGCATGATACATCACGTCCCTTCTGAGATAGAAATATAACAATTACATTTACATACATGTATCTCACACCCCTTCTGAGATGACAACAAGGCATCTAATATCAACTAGAAAGGACGGCAAAGAAGATAGAAATAACTGAGTACAAACATAGCTGAGCTCAACAAGAGACAGAAAGACGCACATGCAGCAAATCATAAGTTTGGTCACGAGTGTTCGAAATATTCAGCCTAGACGGGGTTGGCGGCTTCGCTGGCTGCGCCGGACTGGCGGGGCAGGCTGAGTGATGGTTGTAGCAGGCATCGGCTGTGCAGGTGCTACGGGCAAGACAACAGAACGAAGAAAGTGACGGTTTCGCCAGTATATTCGGCCACTGGGAAGTTTGACCATGTAGTCGCGGTGGCTCCCAATGGCGACAATGGTACCGCGGGCGTTCCACAACTTGCTGCGGGGATCTTGTAGATCCACAGGGCAACCAAGGTGGAGGGCAGGCAGAGAACGGGCAGACTGGTTGTAGTGCTGACTGGCTGCTTCAGACTGGGCAGAGGCACGACTGTCGATTTCGTCAGCGGTTTCTTGCCACGCTGGGGCAAAACTGGTCCGGTGGGCAAGCACGAATGACGACAGGGGGCGGCCAAACAGGGCCTGCGCTGGGCTCTGACCGGAGCTACGGGGAGTGTTACGCCATTCCAATAAGCCACGACGGAAGGCGTCGACATTAATGTCTCCGTTGGTGGTGGTCTTGTACACGAGAGATTTGATGGCCTTGACAGCCGCCTCCGCATGGCCATTCGATTGTGGGTAATGCGGACTGGATCTGACGTGGCGGACTTGCCAACGCTGACAGAAAGCGGAGAAACGCTGCGCTGTAAACTGCGGACCACCATCAGTCGTCAGGACAGCTGGGACACCGAGATCCGCGAACCAGCCTCGGAACGCACGGACTACGTCAGCGGAGGTGGCGGTGTGTCCTATCTTGGCAACACAGGACCAGCCGGTCTTGCCGTCCACGTATACCAGGAACTGGTAGCCTTGGCATTCGAACAGATCCGCGCTGGTGCTCTCAAACGGGAGGGCAGGACAACGATCCTCAGTTGCCAGCAGCGGTTCCTTCACTTGGGAGGGTGCGTGGTGACGGCATTCAGCGCAGCTGCGAACGATATTGTCAATGTCGTTGGACAGCTGGGGCCAATACACCACCTGGCGAGCACGAGCCTTGGTACGGTTGAGACCTTGATGAGCAGCATGCAAGTCGTCAAGCACACTACGCCTGAGGGAACGCGGGACCACAATGCGAGGACCTTTCAGTACCAGGTCCTGGTCGACTGTAAGATGATGACGGACTGTCCAATACGGCTGGGCAGCAGGACATAAGTCGCGTTTGTCGTCGGGAAATCCATTCCGGACGGTGGTGAGGAGTGCCTGATAATCCGAGTCAGCTCGAGCGGCTTCTTGCAATTCGGCAAACCGGAGATTGGCAATCTGGCCTTCGGTGTCTTTCCGAATGCAAGCGCGTATGGCAGGAGTACGAAGGGCTGGGTGTTCACCGAGCTCATCGTCAGGGGTGGGATCATCCACTGGATTGCGGGACAGCGCGTCGGCGAAAGCGTTGTCAGTACCCTTACGCCAAGTGGCATGCAGCTGTATGGACGAAGCTTCATGACCAGGCGTTGGAGCCGGGGATTCTCAATCTGATCGAGCGAGTACGAGTTGATGATTGGTGTGAGGGGCCGGTGGTCGGTGACAAGCTCAAACAATGTACCGGCGAGGTAGAGAGAACATTTCTTCACCGCCCAGACGACAGCTAGGAGCTCCAGTTCGATGACAGCATACCGGGATTCTGGATCCGACAGAAATCGACTGCCACACTGGAGAATGCGCCACTTGCCATCTTGCAACTGCCACAGAACGTAGCCAATGCCATGCAAAGCAGATGCATCGGTCTCTAGGCGGAGTGGCTGGTCACGTTGGAAGAATGATAGCGTTGATGGTGACAACAGCTCAGCCTTGGCAGCGTTGACTGCGTCTGTGTGAACTGAGTCCCATACAAACTCGTTGGACGTCTTGAGCAATGGGCGCAACGGGGCGGCGTGCTCAGACAGGTGCGGGGTGAACTCACCACACTGGTTGATAAGACCCATAAACGATCGGAGATCAGTGCGGTTGCTGGGAGCTGGAAACTGGCTGATAGCTTTGACCTTGGCATCATCGACGGTCCAGCCGTCAGCACTGATGCGGTAACCACAGAACTCCACGACTGGCATGCCGAACACAAACTTCTTGGCGCTCAGAGTAATGCCATTCTCCCGGGCGCAGAGCAGGACATCCCGGACGTGAGATCGGTGGGTGTTCAGGTCATTATCGTAGACGAGGCAGTCATCAACGACCTTCTGGAACTGGGAGATATGAGCGAACGCGGCGTCGGTGCGGCGATTAAACTCGTCTCCGGCAGAGACCAATCCTTGTGGGTTGCGTAGGTACCTGTACCGACCCCAAGGTGTCATGAACGTGGTCAACGGACGGGAGGCCTCGCTCAGAGGAACTTGCCAATAGCCGTGGCGGGCGTCTAGCTTGGTGAAATATCTTGCGTTGCCAACGCTGGATACAGCGTCACGAGGGCTTGGTGCGGGGTGAGCAGGGCGTTCGACTTGGTCGTTGAGCTTTTTGAAATCAACGGTGAGCCTCTTCTCGTTTGTCCCCTTCTTGTCCACGATGACAATTGGGTGACACCACGCACTGGGTTCGGTGACCTCCTCGATGATGGCATCCCGGACCATGTCATCCAGCTGGGACTTCACTTGGTCACGGTACGCATGCGGGATCTGGCGGGCATGATATGCAGCGACAGGCTTAGCATCAGCTCGCACTCTAATTTCCATAGGTCCACCAAGCATTGGCTTCAACACAGAGTCATCAAAGACGTCAGCAAATTCAGCTAGGAGTTCGGCTCTCATCGTCTCTGAGTCGGTGGCTTTGGACACAACCTTGTCCGCAGGTGCACCGGGAACGACCGATGGGACTACCTGTTGGACTGCTGCGATTTGCTTCGGCCAGCCGGACGGCAAGTATCCTAGGGCGTGCAAGGATGAACGGGATAGGAGGGCATCAGTCAAACCATCATAGACATGAATGGTGGACGTGTGCTGGTTTGGTCCACAACTGAGAGTCGCCGAAATCTTGCCAACAGGGGTGAGACTGGCGCCATCTGCGGTACGAACATCGTCGATGTCGTCAAGCAGGTTCTCGACAAATCCGCCTAACTGGTCAAGGTGTTGAGTGCCGATGGCATCAACGTCGCTACCAGTATCCGGGAGCCAACTAAGAGCTACGGGCTCTGGCTCGGTCACAAGCTGGGTGGCAACGGAAACTGTTGCGTCGTCCAACAGAGATGCTCGGTTGAGTCGCAAGTGTGCGATCTTGGACGACTTGTCCGGCTTCTTGGCAGGCTTGCGGCACATTGCCCGGAAGTGACCCGTTCCATTACAGTTGAGGCACACTTTGTTGATCGCGGGACACGGCGATTTCGTGTGCGCTGTGCGTCCGCAGTTACGGCACTTATCACGAGCAGAAGTGTGCTTCGCCTCAACTGGGGGCTGTGAAGCTAACTTCGCGCGCTGATAAGACGACTTCCTGGCAGCATTGACTTGGCCGGCGGTAGGGATGTGGTGGCTGGTCTGTGTGGCTGCCTCTTCTGCACGACACACCTTGACTGTCGCCTCCAATGTCAGGTCGGAGGTGGACAACAGTTTGTGACGGGTGGTGTCGTCCAGGATACCGATCACAATGCGGTCTCGCATCATGTCCGCGTGGACCCGTGCAAGATTAGTCTTGCACGTAGAACAGGCACGTGCCGAACAGGCAGAACAGAGCTCGTGTTCCACAAAATCACACGTGTTAAACAACTCCTTCAGGGAAGTGTGGAACCCGTCAAACAATTCCCCTTTCTGTTGCGTGCGCTTATAAAATTCAATTCGATCAAGTATCGGGTTTCTTTGCCGGCGAAGAAACTGCTTGACCGCCTCCAAGACGTCACACGCATCAGGATTGGTCGCGATGACAATGGTGCCCTCCCTGATAAAACGTCTGAGGTCTTCGTCCAGGCACTG